AAAGAGAGAGTGACTTGAAGAGATGCTGAGACCTGCTCTGTGCACCTGGAGTGCTGTAGTTCATTGAATTGTTGTAAATGTGTTTTTTTTATATTAGGAATGCAAAATTAGTTTCCATTTAGGCACAAAAGCCTCTAGTTCCTCTTGGGTTGACTTGCAAGAAACTGCACATTAACAGCTGCAACGGCTCATAAATGTTATAACTAGTAAAAACCTTCATTAGATGTGGCTCTCAAACCCCAGCGTTGGAAAAAAGAAATGTTTTCATGTCACAACAATTGACACTCAATAGTATTTGCTTCTTGTATCTTGATTTTGTTGTTGTTGAATGTGCACACAGGTTTGAAATACATGTATTTGATTGATGGTCCTGTACCATATGATAAATAATGCATAATTCAGGTAATTCACCCGTCGCCCATTCTCCAAAGCAGCTTTTTTACATTTATATTTCTGTAAATATATACATACATATATTTATTTATATGTCTTGTAGGGCTGGGAGATATGGCAAAAAAGTAAAATCTCAATTTTATTTCCTGCTTTCGATTTTAGAAGGATTTTCATTAAAGTCACCGAAGACAGACTTTGCCCATGAAAATATTTTTTCAAAACAATTTGTTTCCCTCAATACGTATTATACAAGTCTCGTACAGACTGTGCTGATATAAGTATAATTATAATTCTTGTGCTGCTGGAACTCTCACAATATCCTTCTTTCGATTTCACGATTTTCACATTTTTCACAAATTAAATTTTTTCAAAAGCCAATTAATTGCCTAAATTCGATTTATTGCCCAGCTCTAATGTATTGTAAATAAGACTGTATTTAAAGTATTTTCAGTTTCTGGAGTGAAACTTCTTCATCATTGATAGAGACAAAGCAATAGGAAGAGCAAAAATCTTTTTAGTTAATGAAAACCAATAAAAATCTATTTGAGGTTATTATATTAAGTTAGACAGAGCACTCTTGACTTAATTATCTGTTACAATTTGTGAAAATCAAAATTGGTGTCACGTTTGCAGCGTAGAGTAGTAAATGGAACAACTCCACTTGAGAGACCTGACTTTGGAATAACAACAATCCAAACTCTGCCTCTGCACATAATACAGCTAAATTAAACCTCGGCCAATTAGCAACACGTGTCAGCGCCACAAAGAAAACAAGGCGAGTGACAGGCGCGTCGGAGGAGGGCTGTTAAGCTCTAATTGCAGGTGCATCGGCACAATTAAAGCACTTTACTACTGGAAGAAGCAGAGATTGGACCTGTGTGGGCTCAAACAAAATGGCCGTCTTAGAATTGCTGCTCGAAAAAATAAGTCCATTATAGCTCATTACATTCCTTTTAAAATGTGGTGACGAGTGGAAAGAATCATATTTGACCTTTTATGAGCAAAAGTTAAAAATTCAGTTATTAATATTTAAGCACATTATCCAATCAGAGATCAGAAGGGGTCTCTAGTTTGGGTTGCCATTTTGTTTCGGTGAAAATGTGCTTGTTTTGGTTCCTATCTTTTTGTTTTTGTATAAAGAAATGTACATACAAATGTTGGCACCAAAAATTACAGTTAAAACAATAAGTAGTAGTCAATAAAGTATCGATCTGTCTCTTTAAGCATTATTTGTGCATATTACACACGGTCACCTTAAACTTTTAAACGTTCAAACCACACAACAACAAAAAAACTACGTTATGCAATCCATGAAACTAGTTCCTGGAGCTAAAACGTTTGGGTTCAATCACTGTGTAATTTTGCCTCCAAATCTATTGAGGAGCCAGAAACTCACGTGAGCATGCGCACGTCTATCTGCAATTAGAATGAACGAATACGTGGTTCTGGAGACTTTTGACGGCCGTAGCCTTGGCGTCTCTGAAGAACAATGGCGAGCACGAGAACATGTCACATTGTGTTCTGCCGGAGAGTGATACGGTGGAGCATTCAGACAATGAGATAAAGCCTGTGGCATCAATCAGCGGCGGGAGAAGGTCAGTGCAGTGGGCAGTAAACCCTCCTTTAAAGCACACACCTCTGACATTAAAGACAGACGACCCCTCGGTCTCCGCATGGACCGACCTGCGCTCTGGTCTTAGCAGGACATCGATAGGAGCTGACCAGGGCTTTTAATTAGTCTGACCTGCGAGGCTGCGGCGCTAAAACCTTCAAGAGACGGTGCCAGGGTGAAGAGAAAATAACAAGTTAAAATTACTCAAGAACTGTTGGTCGTTAAAAAAAAAATAAAACTGCTCCAACAAGTGTAAGAAAATGTGCTAGTAATACTGTCACCTTGATAGTGTGTGTAGAAGTTTAGAATTAGAGTTTGTTTAACCATTCTATTATCTTACTGCCTTACACCCACTCAAGTCTGAAACACGGGCCAGCAAAAATATATTTTGAAAACGTAACATTAAAGCCCAATGTCAGGGCCATAGACCAGGGGTTAAAGCAAAAAAAAAGATTTGACTGAAAATTTTTGCATGGAAATTTATCACATGTAAATCACAGTAATATGCAGGACCAAGTTATATTTGTAACTACAATATATTATTGTATAATAGATTGAAGAATTCATTTGAGCTGTATTCAATATACAAAGATATACAGTGTATTTTGATATGAAATATAAGTGGATCAAGCAACGAGTAAACTTTTTGACAGAATATTAGTGAGAGTAGCTTTACTTGAGGCGATATGGAGCGTCAACACTTTGGCTCTGTCCTCGTCAAAATTAGAGCTGCAACTAACGATTATTTTGTAATCGATTAATCTATCGATTATTTTTACGATTAATCGAGTAATCGCTTGGCTGTGAATTGTGTAGAAATTATTTTTTTTTTCATCACAAAAAGCTAAAGTGGCAACACTCGAGGACGTATTGATGGCGTAAACTTAAAGTAAATGTTTGTAACAGGCTCTTTGTGCTAATTCTGCTATCTGATTGGATGAGACAGACAGATATTCATGAAATTATAAAAACAAAGTCGGTTATAATCAAAAATACTACATTTTCATGTCATTTTTGCTCTGTTTGAGTCCGTGTGAACCAGAAAACGATTAATCGATTACTAAAATAGTTGTCGACTATTTCAATAATCGATTAGTCGTCGATTACTTGTTTCAGCCCTAGTCAAAATATTGCAAAAGGACGATAAAATTCTGTCCACATTTGTTTGTGGACACGTCAATATTTAAGAAAAAGGTTTCCCTATCAAGTTTGAGTGCACAGTGCACTTCGATCAACTGCAAATGATTTAAATAAATCTACCAGCGGTAGTGATATTCTGAACGTTATTTTCTGCGATAAAGCCACAGACACGGTCCGCCAGAGCAAGCCTAGTGTTAGTTGTTGCTGATGCACCAGGTAAAGATGAAGTGTGGGAAAGTGCACAAACAGCTGCCTTGTGCGCAGTTTTGAGCTGGTGGCGAATCAAAACTTTTTTCTCATTACTCCCATACATGCAATTTTTTATGGCAAAGTACGCACAAGCACCGGCCACTTTCATCTTTTCGCACCATGACTCATTGATTGGCTCTTTTACATCACGCTGAGTTTTGCAAGAAGATCGCAAACAAGACAATATCAAAAGCTCACCAAGACATGTTTGTCCCCATTCCCAGTCGCAGAAAAGTCTGTTTTGTACATTCCGTTAAGTAAACTAGCATTGCGTTTGGTAAACGTTAATTACCTTTCCTCTATTACGCGCCCAGCTTACCAGTCCGCGGATCTGCTGCTGTTATTGCTCCGTTTGAGATTCAATTTTCCTCCTCTTCTCCTTTTCAAAAGCTCCGTGCAGTTTCCAGAAACTTTCACCTCCGTGTTACCAATGATAACTTCATCGCGTCTTCATTTGCACGTGAGCTCAGCTACGTCCCATTGTCTTGATTCATTTGCGGAGCGCTCATGTGGGGAGTACCACAGGGGTCGATCCTGGGACCTCTTCTGTTCAATCTCTACATGCTGCCGTTAGGTCAGTTAATACGCAGAAACGAAGTTTCCTATCATAACTATGCAGACGACACTCAGATCTATGTCTCACTGACTGCAGGAGAACATGGACCAGTGGACTCACTCCTTCACTGTATCCAACAGATCAGTGAGTGGATGCAAAACAACTTCCTTCAGCTAAACACAGACAAAACTGAAATGATTGTCTTTGGTCCCCAGAAACAAAGAGAGAGCGTCATCTGTCACCTACAGTCTCTCTCCCTAAAACCTTCAAACAAGGTCAGAAATCTAGGGGTAATACTGGACTCAGACTTAAATTTTAATAGCCACATCAAATCAGTAACATCAGCAGCTTTTTACCATCTAAAAAACATTGCCAGGATCAAAAACATAGTGTCTAAAGCAGACTTGGAGATTCTTATCCATGCATTTGTCTCCAGTAGGTTAGACTACTGCAATGGCCTGCTCACAGGTCTGTCCATACAGGCTGTTAAACAGCTGCAGTACATTCAAAATGCAGCAGCTCGAGTCCTGACAAGAACCAGGAAGTACGACCACATTAGTCCAGTCCTCAGGTCTCTGCACTGGCTTCCTGTGGCTCAGAGAATAGACTTTAAAACAGCTCTGCTTGTGTACAAGTCTCTCCATGGCCTCGCACCAAAATATATTAGTGACATGTTAGTCCCATATGAACCAGCCCGGACTCTGAGGAGCACAGGGACTGGACTCCTGTTAGTGCCCAGAGTCAGAACTAAACATGGGGAGGCTGCTTTTCAGATTCATGCTGCTAAAATCTGGAACAGTCTTCCTGGAGATGTGAGACAGGCCTCCTCTCTGACAATGTTTAAAGCCAGGTTAAAGACAGTTCTGTTTAGCTGTGCATACAACTGAGGGATTTTATATTTGTATCTTTCTTTTTAATGTTCTGTGATTATTTATGATTTTAATGCTTTCTTGTTTTGTTCAGCACTTTGAATTGCCTTGTGTATGAATTGTGCTATATAAATAAACTTGCCTTGCCTTGCCTTGCCTTAAAAACATGTAGAGACTGACCTCATCTGATAGTGACGGGCCACACGCTCTCTGTGCTCAAAGTCACTGCCGTCTGTCCCTGAGGCTCTGGGCCCGGCACGCGACGCCATCCTGCGATCTGAGCCAACAACACTGGAGTTAAACATTATGACAGTTTTACCTTCTGGGTTTATCATTGATTCAGGAGGATCTAAGGAAAACTGGCTTTAACTATTAGTGAAATTATTTTTCTAACTAATTATAAAAGTGGCTGAGCGATTAGCACTAGGGCTGCACGATATTGAAAAAAATAAAGTTATCGCAGTATTGGTACATGAAATATCCATATTGAAAAGATGCGCGATAATTATTCTTTTTATTATAATTCTTCTTTTCCTTTTCTAAAGACAACGAAACATACACATCAACATACAAACAAGTATATAAATATATGCATTTGAATGTCATTAATGTTGTGCTTATTTTTGTTATTTGTCTAGATTGCAATTTTAGGTGAAAGACAAAAATATCGCTATAATATCGTTATCGAAATACTAAACACTCTGCTCTAATTTCCAACGTTGTGCCGCCATAACCTTCACTCTCGCTTCTCAGAAAGAAGGTCCTGAATTCCAACCCTGATCAGAACCGGGTCTTTCTGAGTTGAGTTTGCATGTTCTCCTAATGTCTCCCCTTTCCTCCAGGTGCTCCAGTTCCCATACTAAAAACATTACAATTGGTGTTAGGTGGCTCCTAACAGAGGCCCTAGTGGCTTTGAAGGATGGGTCAAATTCAGAGGACACATTTCCTTACGGGACGACAAAGTTTAACTTAATACGATTTTTCCCAAATGTTAGGAAAGAACAGCCCTCTCCTCTTTTTGAACACATCTCCGGTCAATCATATCACCAGAATGATTGACAATTAGGACAAATAGTCGTGATGTTCCACCCGGAAGTAGACAACCTTCCTATTTACCTTTAACTGACATATATTGTGTAAACAGATATATTGTGTAAAGCAAAATGTAAAGCAGGAAAAAGCAGAATTGCCATTGCATTTGAGAGATCTGTGTTATGCTTTTAGCTCATAGCAAAATGTAAATTATGAATGTGTTCTTCCAGATGTCATCACTTGAAGTAACATTAGGATTTATTATCATTTTTGAATCACGTTAGATATTATAATAGTAACGTTTATGGAGCTCCGTGAGTCCCGGGCATACTGCAAAAGAACAGCCAGTGTGTGCTCCGTCAGTCCCGGGTACACTGCATATGGAACAGCCGCTGTGAGTTCCATGAGTCCCGGGGTGTGTACGACTGAAGCCTCGCTCTCCAGGACCAGGACAAACAGAAGCTGAAGCATTAAGAGTATACGGTCAACAGGGCGCTCTTACCCGGTGTGAGGTTGTGTTGAGAGGATGGACAGCGGAGAGGATGGAAGTAGCGTTAGCATTAGCATTAGCATTAGCAGCTGCGCTAACAGGAGGCCGCCATTACTGCTGAAGCGGAAGTGACGTGTCCGCTCAGTGATGTTCTTCTGCTTGTGCGTTTTGCCAGTTTATGCAGTATGTACAGCGCTTTCAGAACAGTGTGTTGTCCTTTATAATAGATTCATGGTGTTGCTCCTTACAGTCTATGGTTGTTCCCCTCCAAGTCCTTCCCCTTCTCCTGCACCCTCTACAGTTCTATCCAACTCCTCCCAGTTCATCATAATTATGGGTAAAAACAACTTACACAAAAAAATAAAATGGCAGAATACATTTACATCTCTCATGACATTTCAAATTGATTTCAAGGTTTCTTTCATTTCTTTTTTTCTTTCCTGTTATGATGTCTCAGAATATTTGCTGTTGGGACTTGCCTCACTGAATGTATGTTGTTTTTGTTTTATTTTTTGGGACAATTTTGAACATATTGCAATTTAATAAATATATTTTACAAAAAATAAAAGCCCAGGAATCAGTGAGCGATCAAAGCCTGCTCGACCCACGGTTCAGAGCTTCATTTGTTCCACTTCGCCTTCTTGTGGACAAGCTAAAACTCACAAACAATCATAGTTGCTACAAAGTCTTTATTGATTTTACCACCAGAACAAATGTACATATTTCAGAAACAGCTGGCTTTTGTCGTCTGTCTGGGTAATTTAAATTGGAACAATAAATTATGAAAAAATGGGACAATCATATTTAAAAACTTTATTTTTTCCTACACATGTGGTTTGATTATGATGAAAGTAGGCTATGGAACCTCTGTTTAGAAGCAAATAAAACACGTACGTTTCAGTAGTCAAAAATAAATAATACAAGACAATGACAAATACTTGTAAACAATAAAGATAATGTCAGCCCTCACTAAGTAGTGCAACAGTAAAAACACACATGTCCGAATGTCCGCCATATTCTTAAACCCTATGACCCCTGACCCCTGACTCCATAGTCCCAAACTCATTATCAGTGCAAACCTGTTGTGTTGATGGACTACTATCAATCCTGAGACTTTTAGCCACGATCAATCTCTTGGTCAAAATGTGGTGGATTGTCAGCATTTCCTCAATATGTTCAGAAAGCTAAACGTGCTGTTGTTTTAAGGTCTTGTTCTTCCTGACCCCAGGGCTTTTGGACTCACCTTGGCCTCAAGAAGGAGTTGATTGAAGCACTAAACACTAACGCTAGTGTCTCTACAGATAACAGTTTTGTTCGTATTCATAATTTCAGGTCGAGAGTGTGGTAAAACAGCGTCTCTCTGCTTTCCTTCAGTCAGAACTGGATACAATGTGGGAGAAGTCGTCTGCTGTGCTGTTTCTCCTGTTGGACATGTGGACACCCTTTAATGGTGTGACCCTGTACTGTGTAAGTGTACTGGGTGCCACCCCCCCGACCCAGAAATGGATTAAGGGGAAGAAAATGGATGGATGGATGGACCCTGTACTGTCCCCTGAGGAGGGAATATCTTGGACATTCGGACACATCTGTCTTGTCCAACCAAAGCACTGGTCCTTGATGTTCTTCAGAGCTGTAGGATATGTATGTATATGTATAGTGGAGGCTGCAAGTGCACTTTGTGAAGCTCCTCACATGGAGTAGAGCAGGTGTCCAGAGAAGGTGGAGTGGACGTACTGTCCCGCGTACAGTCCTGCGGCCTGCTCCGAGGGCAGCTCCATGTGCACTGTGTCCCCTGGCCTGAGGGGCAGCACTGAGCTCCCTGAGGCCTGGTCCAGCAGACCCTTACTGCACTCATCATACGTGTACATAACAGGCTCGTGGTTCTTCATCAGGTCTACAGCCTCGGTCCTGGGTCTACAGCCTCGGTCCTGGGTCTACAGCCTCGGTCCTGGGTCTACAGCCTCGGTCCTGGGTCTACAGCCTCGGTCCTGGGTCTACAGCCTCGGTCCTGGGTCTACAGCCTCGGTCCTGGGTCTACAGCCTCGGTCCTGGGTCTACAGCCTCGGTCCTGGGTCTACAGCCTCGGTCCTGGGTCTACAGCCTCGGTCCTGGGTCTACAGCCTCGGTCCTGGGTCTACCAGCCTCGGTCCTGGGTCTACAGCCTCGGTCCTGGGTCTACAGCCTCGGTCCTGGGTCTACAGCCTCGGTCCTGGGTCTACAGCCTCAGTCCTGGGTCTACAGCCTCAGTCCTGGGTCTACAGCCTCAGTCCTGGGTCTACAGCCTCAGTCCTGGGTCTACAGCCTGTCCGTTTTTTTTTGAGCAGATCCCTTCCTTAACCTCCCCATGGTTTCTCACTTTTTCCCCGGGGTTTTTGAGGAGGGTCTAAGGCAGGGGTCGGGAACCCAAAATGTTCAAAGAGCCATAATTGACAAAAAAACTAAAAACAACATCTGTCTGGAGCCGCAAAAAAATAACAGCCTTGTATAAGGCTTTTATGAAGTTAACACAGGCTGCAAGATGTATTAGCTATATTAGCCTAATATCTAAATGACAAAGTAAAGGCTACAAATACATAATAATCATTCATTATTTTCACTGCAGCGTGTCGCACCACGCGTGTCGTTAATGACGCAACACGGGACAACTCTGCTTTAGTTTAACTTCCATTTTTTTGCCTTCATGCAATTGTAGAAATACAGTAAATCAATCTGCTTTGGGCTCAGAGGTCACATACCTGCATCACTGTCTGCTCATATCCATCACGTCACAGGCTGAAGTTTGCTGGAGCTGAATTAAAATCCTTAATGGCCTTTTCTTTCACCGTCTTTGAGAAGGTTTTGAAGTCTGAAAATAGGTGCTCTGAATTTTTGATGAATGAATCCTTCACGTAATCACCGTGTACGGTGTTTTGCGCGTCATTGTTCCTCGTGTTGCAACAAAACTTTTCATTACAAACATGAAGCAGTCCTTCCTCATTGACTGAAAGAAATTGTTCATTCTCATTCTTAGTCCAGTCTTGTTATCGACTCTTTCTCGTTTTAGCTTTGGGATCCATGTGCACTTACAGTCTATGATGCACACACGCCGGTTTGTTTACAACAGCGGCCGCATGGGGCGGGGCCGCGTGACCGCGCGTCATAGGATATGACGCAGTACGTTGACAGAAATGTTGAAATTAGATATTACTTATACATATTTTTACAGCATTTAAAAACGTAAATATTGTTTTTCCTTCTACAGAAACCACATTCAAACTAGAAATAAAATATAGCCCTCACACTCCATTTTCAGACATTTTTGAAAAGGCTCCAGGAGCCACTCCAGGAGCACTCAAGAGCCGCATGCGGCTCCGGAGCCGCGGGTTGCCGACCCCTGGTCTAAGGACATTCATGAACTGTGGTCGTCCGCTCCCTGTGGACCATTGGCTTCTGTGTTTGTTAGAATTGCATTTCCTGTCTCTGATCTGCGTTTGTCACTCTCAGTCTCACCTTTGTCTTGGCTCTTGCTGGTCACAGACTGGATGAAGGCGAACAGGAGGAGGATGACGAGGGAGGCCATGCCGATGCCCCGGAATGTGTTAGCCGCTCCTGGAGACAAGGACTGTCAGTTTCTTGCCAAACCAAAAGTAAAGAATTGTGGGCCGGATCAGGGGGACGTCAAACCGGTCCTCAGAGGCCTCTGAGGACCGGTTTGACGTCCCAGGGCCGAGATCCTGTTTGTGGTTGAAACAGAAGTTACCGAAGTATCCGACAAAGACTCCCCCGATCATGGCCCCACAGCCGCGGCCCAGGCCCAGGTGCAGCCCCTGGAGGATACCCTGCGCAGAGGTGCGGAGGGCGGGGGGGACCGCGGCACTCAGGAAGGAGATACAGGCGGCCCAGACTGAGGCGTGGGTCACTCCTGTAAACACAAACATGAACACACACACATATATATAAACACATAAACACAAAAACACACAGGCATACACATACAGACAATATACACACACATGCATACGTACACCCACACAGACAACAAACACACACACATATACACACACAAAGACGCCCATACACACCTTTTTTTTTTTAAAGGCACACATAAACACACATTCACAGAGACACACGCACACACACACACACACACAGATATATACACAGAAGCACAAACACATACACACATGTAAACAGGCATGCATACAGACACACCTTCATGTAAACACACACACAGACACACCTTCATGTAAACACACACACACATACACACATTCATGTAAACACACACACACATACACACATTCATGTAAACACACACACATACACAAATGCAGTGGTACCTTGCAGGATCTCCATGGGCAGCACAGCCCAGGCGTTGGTGATGTAGGAGATGTACAAATACCGAGCCGTGTTACAGGCCAGACCGATGTACAGGACCCTGCACACAACAGAGAGCACCCATGTGAGCTGCCACGGAGAGCACCCATGTGAGCTGCCACGGAGAGCACCCATGTGAGCTGCCACGGAGAGCACCCATGTGAGCTGCCACAGAGAGCACCCATGTGAGCTGCCACAGAGAGCACCCATGTGAGGCTGCCACAGAGAGCACCCATGTGAGCTGCCACAGAGAGCACCCATGTGAGCTGCCACAGAGAGCACCCATGTGAGCTGCCACAGAGAGCATCCATGTGAGCTGCCACAGAGAGCACCCATGTGAGCTGCCACAGAGAGCACCCATGTGAGCTGCCACAGAGAGCACCCATGTGAGCTGCCACGGAGAGCACCCATGTGAGCTGCCACGGAGAGCACCCATGTGAGCTGCCACGGAGAGCACCCATGTGAGCTGCCACAGAGAGCACCCACGGGTCTGAAAACTTAAAAAGGTATAAAAGGAGGATTTTCTCAATTTTTTATGAAAGAACCACATCTACATTGGTTTTAATGCACGACACACACACACGTTTCCATGTAGATTATTAGAATTTAATAAATGTTTGTCTATGTATGTTAAGATTCAATATATATATGACTGTAGATATTAATACTGTATTTCTGCATATGTACTAACAGATCTTGAAAAACATTATAGTGTGGTCCCTTTAAGTGAGCTCGGGTCGAGGGTGTGACGCCGCTGTGGGCGCGGTCCATATTCACTCATTGTCTCGTGAACAAACAGGTTTAGTGTCTCAGCCGCTCGGTTACTGTCACTGTCACTCAAATACATCCAGTACTGACGTGAACACCTGGAGGAAACCCACACAGACACGAGGAGAACATGCAAACTCCAAAAACAAACGAGAACGGCTTCCAATGTGCATTACATACTTACTGCTAGTACTGCTGCTACTGCTGCTACTGCTACTACTTGTCTCAATATACATCCACACCCAGACCACTCTTGCTACTACTACAACTAGAAGTAATGCTACTGCTACTACTACTGCATCTACCACTACTGCATCTACTACTACTACTTCTGGATTCTTCCAGATCCAGACCACTCTTGCTACTACTCCTACTACCATTACTACTGCTACAACTAGAACTAATGCTACTGCTAATACTACTCCATCTACTACTACTACTACTTTTCTCAATATACATCCAGACCCAGACCACTCTTGCTACTATACTGCTATTTCTACTACAACTACAACTAATGCTACTGCTACTGCTACTACCACTACTGCTACTACTACTACTGCTACAGCATCTACTATTACTAATACTGCTACTACTACTACTACTGCATCTACTATTACTAATACTGCTACTCTGACTGATCCAGAAACAGATTTTAATGTTTAAACATGTGTTTTTATGTGCCTTTTGGAGCTGGAGAGTGAAACTCCAAAGACAATGTTGCAAAACTGTGTCCTTTAAATCAGAGTTCCCAAAATTCAACCCAAACGTTGACAGATAAACTGACTGCAGATTAAGAGACCGTGAAGCCGAAAAGAATCAAAACAACAACATTCCTCAGATTATTTAACCCTCACATGGATAACTTGTCTCTGTACACAGTAGGACGTTTGTTTTTGGCTAAACACATATTGTCCACCATTAAATAAATTATTTAAAAATCAGACAGGATTTTCTGGATTTGTTTTCTCAGTATACATACACACACCTCTGTCTCAGTACACATACCTCTGTCTCAGTACACATACACACACCTCTGTCTCAGTATACATACACACCTCTGTCTCAGTATACACACACACCTCTGTCTCAGTACACATACACACCTCTGTCTCAGTATACATACACACCTCTGTCTCAGTATACATACACACCTCTGTCTCAGTATACATACACACCTCTGTCTCAGTATACATACACACCTCTGTCTCAGTATACATACACACCTCTGTCTCAGTATACATACACACCTCTGTCTCAGTACACATACACACCTCTGTCTCAGTATACATACACACCTCTGTCTCAGTATACATACACATACCTCTGTCTCAGTACACATACACACACCTCTGTCTCAGTATACATACACACCTCTGTCTCAGTATACATACACACCTCTGTCTCAGTATACATACACACCTCTGTCTCAGTATACATACACACCTCTGTCTCAGTATACATACACACACCTCTGTCTCAGTACACATACACACCTCTGTCTCAGTATACATACACACACCTCTGTCTCAGTACACATACACACCTCTGTCTCAGTATACATACACACCTCTGTCTCAGTACACATACACACCTCTGTCTCAGTACACATACACACCTCTGTCTCAGTATACATACACACCTCTGTCTCAGTATACATACACACCTCTGTCTCAGTATACATACACACCTCTGTCTCAGTACACATACACACCTGTCTCAGTATACATACACACCTCTGTCTCAGTACACATACACACCTCTGTCTCAGTATACATACACACCTCTGTCTCAGTACACATACACACACCTCTGTCTCAGTATACATACACACCTGTCTCAGTATACATACACACCTCTGTCTCAGTATACATACACACCTCTGTCTCAGTACACATACACACCTCTGTCTCAGTATACACACACACCTCTGTCTCAGTATACACACACACACCTCTGTCTCAGTACACATACACACCTCTGTCTCAGTATACATACACACCTGTCTCAGTATACATACACACACCTCTGTCTCAGTATACATACACACACCTCTGTCTCAGTATACACACACACCTCTGTCTCAGTATACATACACACACCCCTGTCTCAGTATACATACACACACCTCTGTCTCAGTATACATACACACCTCTGTCTCAGTATACATACACACCTCTGTCTCAGTATACATACACACCTCTGTCTCAGTATACATACACACACCTCTGTCTCAGTATACATACACACCTCTGTCTCAGTATACACACACACCTCTGTCTCAGTATACATACACACACCTCTGTCTCAGTATACACACACACCTCTGTCTCAGTATACATACACACCTGTCTCAGTATACATACACACCTCTGTCTCAGTATACATACACCCTCTGTCTCAGTACACATACACACCTCTGTCTCAGTATACATACACACCTCTGTCTCAGTATACATACACACCTCTGTCTCAGTATACATACACACCTCTGTCTCAGTACACATACACACCTGTCTCAGTATACATACACACCTCTGTCTCAGTACACATACACACCTCTGTCTCAGTATACATACACACCTCTGTCTCAGTACACATACACACACCTCTGTCTCAGTATACATACACACCTGTCTCAGTATACATACACACCTCTGTCTCAGTATACATACACACCTCTGTCTCAGTACACATACACACCTCTGTCTCAGTATACACACACACACCTCTGTCTCAGTACACATACACACCTCTGTCTCAGTACACATACACACCTCTGTCTCAGTATACATACACACCTCTGTCTCAGTATACATACACACCTCTGTCTCAGTATACACACACACCTCTGTCTCAGTATACACACACACCTCTGTCTCAGTATACACACACACCTCTGTCTCAGTATACACACACACCTCTGTCTCAGTATACACACACACCTCTGTCTCAGTATACATACACACCTCAGTCTCAGTATACACACACACCTCTGTCTCAGTATACATACACACCTGTCTCAGTATACATACACACACCTCTGTCTCAGTATACATACACACCTCTGTCTCAGTATACACACACACCTCTGTCTCAGTATACATACACACACCTCTGTCTCAGTATACATACACACACCTCTGTCTCAGTATACATACACACCTGTCTCAGTATACATACACACACCTCTGTCTCAGTATACATACACACCTCTGTCTCAGTATACATACACACCTCTGTCTCAGTATACATACACACCTCTGTCTCAGTATACATACACACCTCTGTCTCAGTATACATACACACACCTCTGTCTCAGTATACATACACACCTCTGTCTCAGTATACACACACACCTCTGTCTCAGTATACATACACACACCTCTGTCTCAGTATACACACACACCTCTGTCTCAGTATACATACACACCTGTCTCAGTATACATACAGACTCAGACCTCTCTTGTCTCAAAAACCCTGGGGCTGTATCTGCTTTTGACGTTTTCTTACTATAGACTGTAAATATTAACGAACATAGTCACGTCTATCTTCGCTGTTGAAACTATTGTTCCACCACTTTCGCCTTTTATGGGGCTTTTCAAAATGGCCGCGGGGGCTGGATAATGTGAAAAAAACACATTTGTGCATGCGTCAGCTGCACTAGCCCCATTCATTTATCGAGTGCATTCAAAATTCCACAGCGACTAAACTAGACTGGTCCAAAAAAATGACTTACACAGTGTACTTTATGCCATCAGTGGACTGAGCGCTTTTCATGTAACTATACTGAACAAGCTCATTATCCCATTCATTAGAGACGTTCTCCACATTAAATAAGATACATCTGACAGTTTGTTGGTAAAGACTTCATTTGAAACAGTTAACTTCCAAATGTCATTTGATTATCATACTATAGGCGGATCGTTGTCTACAGTTTGTGTGCCACATGCACCCCGCACTGTGCGGCAAGAAGACAGAGCTGCCATAACATAGCAGGGATGGCGACAAGTAGTTTTAAAAGAGTTGCACTTTTATATAACCACTTTTTACGCGGAAAATCTGAGAAGATATAAGGATAAGCTAAAAAATAAGTATAGAACTGAACAAATTCAATGCCCATATGAAGAAAACCCTGGGATACCGTCAAACGTTGGTCAGAATCACCTCTTCTTGGGCACGATCAGCTGGAGACATTTTATTCTTACTCTAATAGAAAACCCCACGACTCTTCCACGCAAGAAAAAAGTTACACAGACACCCTATGGCCTTTTGCAGAAGAATGTTTTTGTCTATTTTGGGGACTTCGACGCATAGCAAAGTAGAAGACATCACAGTCGTGCTGCCTTTTTGGTTCCCATGTTCATATAATTATATTATATTGAACCGAGTTTGCTTTTCTTTTTAGATCCATAGCCAGTTTTGATAAGAGAGCATAGTGTACTGTGGAACCATAATATTGACTTTCATTGAGGGGGGTAACTCCAATAGTATCTTTCATAAAGTGGACTTTGTTAGTAACCAAAATTCTAGTTTATTTAAGGTGAATGTCAGATACTGTTCTAGCCTGGCCTAGCCATCCCGTAAAAACTCCGTCAATCTATCTGTGCTAGCGATTACAAACGCTTGAATTTCGACCGACCAAT